AGATGGTTCATTTCACTATTATACGTGATGTACGTTTTTTGGGGGTGGTTAATGAAAATGTTTCAAAACATGACATTAATTTCTTGACGACCTAATAGTAAACTGACATTTTCAGTCTTCATGGTCATTCCACTAATAATGAAGCATAGGATTTCATTTACTTTCATACCTCTTTGCTGGTTTTCAAGCATGGCTTCTCCAAATGGATAGACTGAACAGTTGGTTTTAAGAATCACAAAAATAGCACTTGCCATAGAGAAACAGTTGAAATTACTGTCATTCTTCCATCGTTTACAAGGAACACTTTTGAACAACTTTTACATCAACATGCCTACAAGAAAGTAATAAAAATTCAAGATGCTTTACTGCAATTTTAAACTAATATCAAATTTCTGTGCAGACTAGGTTTGACTTTGAGAGGGCATGTAGAAGAATCAAATTGGAAATCTCCATTAGCTACTACTTATGAAAGCAGAAACTGGATATAGAACTTACAAGTGTTTGCAGCAACTTTGAGGGAAAATATGCAGCGAATAGCAACTAGATAAACAATTGTAATTCCTATGGAGATTCTTCAATAATGATTTTGGCTGACACATTCATTCACAACAACTAACCTTTGGGTTGCATTTCCAGAAGTTGAAATAAGGCTGAATGGAGACAAGCAATATGTATCCAGCTTTATTTGACATCAAGTATTTTCTAATGCTTTCTCCAAGTCAAAAGAGTCTTCTGTCATAAGTGAGAACACTACTGCAGCTTATTCAATGTCTCGAGGCATGTGAAGAACTTTATTCTGAATACAGTGACTTGGAAACATCTCAATTATTTAGTGGTCCCCTACATGCACAAGGAAATAACTGACACACTGGATCTCAACAACATTCTGAAGGAATTCATAGGAGATTCAGAGCACTATTTTTAAAACAACAACTTCTAAACTAACCATTCCTTTGCACTGTAGATACTTGTATTACTTGTAACAGTATATCTTATATGGTGCATTAAAAAGAAACTGTGTTTTTGTGGAATAAATGGTGAAGTCTGAAAATTTAATGAGGTAATGGTGAAATACATATGTATTCATTAACTTTGGACAGTATATATATATATATATATATA